CCCAGAACTGGATGCAGTACTCCAGCTGCAGCCTGACCAGTGCTGCATAGAGGGGGAGTATCACCTCCTTGGACCTGCTGGAGATGCAAGATCCTTTTCTGCCTCTGTGCTGACAAGAGGGGAGTTCCCTAACCTGTAGGTATGGTGCTGGTTGTTCCTCCCCAGGTGCATCACTTTGCACTTGTTGGTGTTGAATCCTATCCTATTCTCATCCACCCATCCTTGTAACCTGTCTAGGTCCGATTGCAGCCTATTCCTCCATTCTATTGTGCCCACATCCCCCCACATCTTAGTGTCATCAGCAAATTTGAACAGGGTGCTTTTTACCCCCTTGTCCAAGTCACTGATGAAGATGTTGAACAATTTCTTGTTAGCATATTTCTTGTTGGTGTCTTACAGTTGCTCTGGACTGGATGCGAGTAGATCTCGGTTCCATTCCAAACACTGATCTGGATTTTGTGTGTGACATGGGTTATGTAGGAGAAAGGGGCACAATGGTAACTGGGTGCCTCTGCAAATCTCCTTGTTTCTGCACCTCAATTTTCCATTTGCAAGTGAAAGGGTGATAATATTTTCTTCCCCCATAAGCATTACCTTTAATAATTCCTCCTTATTTTTCTGAGGGGACTTAATACTGTGTTGAGGAGTGCCATGAAGAAGCTTATAAATGCACAAATATTTGTGCATCCCCCCTGCATTTGGGCAGGAAAGACTGCTGGAATCTGATGACCGCCAGCAAGATGGGCATCAGGACACTTTTTGAAGATAGCTAGGGTGGATGACTGTATCACCTCTGGGGGGAGCCTGTTCCAAGCCTTCGGCACTTGACTTGTAAAGAAGTTTTCCCTTATGTCTAGCCTGAAGTGCTCTTCAGTCAGTTTGTGCCTATTATTTCAGGTCCTCCCCTGGGGGGCCTTGGTGAATAGATGCTCTCCCAAGCCCTGATGTACGCCCCTGCTATACTTACAGGCTGCCATCAAGTCCCCTCTGAGTCTTCGCTTCTCCAGGCTGAACAGTCCCAAGTCTTTCAGCCTTTGCTCATACGACCTGGTCTCTAGGCCTCTAATTATGTGTGTGGCCCCTCCTTTGGACTCTCTTAAGCTTTGTTGCTGGGTATTGGCTTAGCCTTAAACCCATCTCTTGTTCTTCATAGCTATGATATCTTCTACTACATTGTTCAACTCACTTGTTTTCTGTCAATTTTTATGAACTCATTGTTCAGGTAATGTTATTCTATCCTATAGCCAGTTACATGTCTTTTTGTTCTCTGTGTTATAGAGGTTTGATACATGGGCATAAAAAGTCTTTAAACCATAAAGGGACTTTCTCTTCATATTATCATTTAACTTTCTGAATGTTCTTTTGCCTAGCTATCATAATCAACTTCATGTTGTCTTTCTGATTGACAGTAGCTTTCATCAACTGTCCTATATAGATGTATCTTAGCAATTTCTAATTGTTTCTCATCAACTGATCTTTCCTTCCTTTGAGTGAAAATATGTTTACTCCTCTGCATATTAGCTTGGATTCTACATTTTGTACTAAGTTTTCTTTATCCTGTCATTTTTTGCTCTTAACTGGTGCGGTTAAAATAAAAAATTTTGCAATGCTTGTGACATTCATGTATCCAAAATTCTCTTTGTTCTTTTTAAGGTTATTATTGATGGTGAAATGCTTGGTTGTGATATTTTTTGCATGTGTTTCAGTATAGTTTCCATTTTAATTGAGACTCTTTTGAGTTATTTATCTGAACAGTTTAGTAGAGCTTGCAGTTAAAGCTATTGAACTGCAATTATGCCTTGACATTTTTCAGTGTGAATTTGCAACTATAGTTTATGCCATTTCTTTGCAGGGCAAAAACTCCACCCAAACTACATGCTCAAGTTCTTTGACAGAATATAAGAAAATGTGTGGATTGATTCCCTGAGAACCGTATACAATTGCTTTATAAAATATTAGTTCTCATTTATAAAAGTCTGTCTGGTTATTCAGAAGATATACAAACAATATTAACTGCTGTTGGGTATAATTTATAGTATTATATCCTTATGATGATAGTGTCTCCTGTTTTATTATTTAGATCACATCTCTGTCTCATAATTGTGTAAAGGAGCAACTGTGGATACTTTTAAATAACATTTTGTTTTTTCACTCTTTTGCGGATTGTACAGATAGTATGAGTTCTTAGTAAAACAGCAGTTTCTTTGGGAGTTTGTGTTGATATTTACATAAGGTCTTTCTCTAGTCATGTAACGTCCAATAAGATTTAACCAAATCAATACCTAATTGCTACTTTAACTCACAGTCCCCTTACTGAAAAGCATGTGTAATGCAGGATCTCCATGAATAACCGACATTGTAAGGATTCATGACCATTTTAATATTAGCATAGTTTAATGATGAGTCAATTTGTGTTCTATTAAGACAGTCTCTAATGTAATTTGAGAAATACTAAGTCTTTGGAACTAATTAGCCAACTTCTGCAGTTTATAGTAAGATCCAATTCTCCATTGATAATTCTGGAAATTTGTCCAGCTATGGACTTGACTGTTTGGCCTGTTATAACTAGTAATGGGTAAACCTAAATGTTTACCAAAGGTTCAGTTTAATTAAGAATGTAAAAGAATGGATGCTTATTTAATGTTAATCCAAAGGGGTTGGGTATTGTCTGGTAGGTACGTATGTGTCTGGGTAAAAGAGAAGGTGAATCAAAGGGAGACAATAGGGAAGCATTAGATCCTTCCCAGTGCTTGTTCATGTTGTATGACTCTGGTGTGACAGATGTTAAAGTAAAGGCATGATGGGATCTAATGTGGGATCCCACACATGCATGGCAGGAGGCAAGATTGTGAGATTTTGCATGAGATCACATTGCACCATTTTGCTGGTGCTGGAAGACGCCGATCCTGGCAAGCAGCAAGCTTGGCTCCCAGTGCATGGTGTGTTCCCCAGCTGGAAGCCCTCATCAGCTGAGGGGCCTCCCAGCCTCTGGTGCACACAGGAATCTTGAAAGGCTCCTGTGTGCTCTAAAGACTGAGTGCTGGCCACATGTTCAATTAAAGGCATGATAAGAAACAGTATAATATCTTTGTGGCTTATTCATCATTTTGGCACACTGTTGATTGATTGACTGCATGGCCAGGTCATTATTTAAGACATGAGAGCCTCTGAGAAAAGCATAAAGCAATGGCTGCTTGACATGAGAGTTGGATGCAAGAGGCAAGTAACCGTCTCTTGTTGTTTTT